ATCATTTCGGGCGACTTGTGCTTACGAGCAGCCCGAGGAGATCGGCATATGTTTCCTACGGACCGTCGCGGTAGCCGACTCTTCACCCACGGACTTGGCTTCGGACCCCCGTGTGGTACGGTTGCTGGACGAGTTCGCCGACATCTTCGAGTCACCTACCGGTGAGGTGCCGGGTCGGCCGATCTCTCACGAGATCATTCTTGAGGCCGGTGTCGTGCCGCCGAAAGGTTGCATCTATCGGATGAGCGAGGAGGAGCTTGAGGTACTCCGCGCACAGCTCGATGATTTGTTGGCCAAGGACTGGATCCGCCCGAGTAGCTCCCCATATGGAGCACCAGTTTTCTTCATCAGGAAGAAGAACAAGGATCTACGATTGTGTATCGACTACCGCAAGCTCAACGCGCAAACCGTCAAGAATGCGGGGCCTCTTCCTCGCATCGACGATCTTCTCGAGCGACTGGGCGGTGCGAAGTATTTTTCCAAGTTGGGTTTGAAATCAGGATATCATCAAATCTCGATTCAGCCGAACGACCGCTACAAAACCGCATTCAAGACGCGGTACGGACATTTTGAGTGGGTGGTCATGCCTTTCGGCCTCACCAACGCCCCGGCGACATTCCAGGCGGCGATGACCAATGAGTTCCGTGCAATGTTGGACCGGTTCGTGCTGGTCTACTTAGACGATATTCTCGTCTACAGCCGGACATGGGAGGATCATCTTGGACATCTTCGACGAGTGTTGGAGACGCTCCGCCGTACCAAGTACAAGGCCAACCGTGACAAGTGCGAATTTGTCCGGCAAAAGCTGGAATACTTGGGCCATTTTGTCACACCGGAGGGCATCAGTCCGCTATCAGACAAGATTCACGCCGTCCAAGAATGGTCGGAGCCTCGGAATGTCACGGATGTCCAAAGTCAAACGGATGTCCGACCGTTTGACTTTGGAGAGGAGGCGCGGGGATCATTCCTCGCTCTCAAAGCTGCGCTATTGTCTGCGGAGGTCTTGCGAATCTACGACCCGCTTGCGCCTACGCGTGTCACTACGGATGCGTCAGGCTATGGCATTGGTGCAATCCTCGAGCAACATGATGGTGTGGACTGGCACCCGGTCGAGTACTTCAGCAAGAAAGTGTCCACGCAAGAAGGAGTTCCTCGCCTTCGTCCCCGCGCTCAAGCGGTGGCGGCACTTCCTCCTTGGTCGAAGCCAATTTCGCTGGGTAACGGACAACAATCCATTGGTCTTCTACAAGACCCAAGACACCGTCAACAGCACCATCGCTCGATGGATGGCTTTCATCGACCAGTTCGACTTCTTTCCCGATCACATTCCCGGGAAGTCGAACTGTTTTGCGGATGCTCTTTCACGGCGTCCGGATCATTGTACCGCGGTCTACTCGACTTTCGAGATTGACGATGGCCTGCGGAACAGCTTCATCCGCGGCTACCAAGCCGACCCCGAGTTTCGCGACAAGTACACGAATTGCTCCTCTCCTAATCCGGCTCCTTCTCACTACCGGATCCAAGAGGGGTACTTGCTTGTCCACACGCGGGGGAAGGACCTTCTTTGCGTACCGAGTGATCCTCACTTGCGTACACGGCTTTTTGGCAAGTTCCACGACGCTCCCGCCACTGGACATTTTGGAGTCAATTGCACGATTGGCCGACTTTGCCAGCGATTTTGGTGGCCCGGCCTTCTCGGCGACGTCACGCGCTATTGCGAGTCATGCGAGGTTTGCCGACGCTGCAAATCCCGCAACCACCGTCCGTACGGCGAGTTACGACCATTGCCAGTCCCATTGAGGCGAAGGGAAGCCATTGCCATGGACATCACTGGCCTGTTCCCCAAGCACAAGACCGGAGTGGATGGGATTCTCACGGTGGTCGACCGACTCACCAAGTTCGCCATGTTCTTGCCTTGTCGCTATCATGCCAAGGCACCGGAGTTGGCCGAGGTTCTGTACGCCGGTTGGATTCGCACCAAGGGTTACCCCAAGGAGATCGTCTGCGACCGCGACACTCGGTTCATGTCCGATTTTTGGTTG